AGTAGAGCAACTGGTTGACGACTACAGTACCACCTCATCAGATGGTGTTACAATGACTTGTATTGCATCTACTGATAAAGGTCGGATTTTCTTGGCTGGACACAACGGTCTCATATACGAGCTGCTTTACACTATTGGCTCACCTTGCCGTCTTGTGTGCTGCACGCCACCTCCGCCTATGCCAGTGCTTTGCCCTGACGCTAACGAGTGGGACGAAAGGTACACATAATCGACCTGTCTCCTCTCTGCTCTTTGATTCTTGTGGAAGTCGAAACTAACACAATCGAGATTTGTCTAGGGTTTTAATTTAGGGATACGATAAATATGAATTCTCAAAGAACAACAGAAACAATTGTAACCAAAGATGGTGTTCTTGATCTTATTGATGAAAAGAGTAGTTTTGATCGTACAAGAGTTTGATCGTAAAAGAAAAGATGTTTGTGCTATGAGAGCTTTGCGTAGTGTAAATTCTATAGCGATATTGATTGCCTTTTGCTTGAGCCTTGAGTCTCTTTATATAGGGATAGTAAACCGCCTCTCCACCGATATTCTCGGAAGATTTCCATTTTCCTCGGAGTCGGCTTAGAATATTGCGGATAAGGATACTTTCCTTATTCTTCGGAGGCTTTTGGAAGATTTCCTGATTTGCAAAGATCCTTCAAGATTATTCCTTATCATTTCCTAGTATCTCGGAAATGATCCTTCTTTTTCAGAAATGATGCTGTTCTATTCGGAAGTGATACTATGGAAGTGAATTTTTAACCAAGTCTTTGCCTCGGGTGACTCTGAAGATTTCACCTCGGGTGACTCTGAAGATTTCACCTCGGGTGACTCTGAAGACTTCACCTCGGGTGACTCTGAAGACTTCACCTCGGGTGACTCTGATGACTTTGCCTCGGGTGACTTTGCAGACTTCGCCTCGGGTCACTCTGAATACTTTGCCTCGGGTGACTCTACAGACTTCACCTCGGGTCACTCTGAAGACTTCGCCTCGGGGTGACTGAGGACTTCACCTCGGGTGACTGGTGTGATTGGTTCAGGACAGGGCGCCTGAGTGGCCTGTATCCGAGGCGATGTGAACTGTACCCCTAGGCGATTTGAGGTGTACCCCTAGGCGATTTGAGGTGTACCCCTAGGTGATTTGAGGTGTACCCCTAGGCGATTTGGGCTCGGGGACACAGGCAAAGTTGGCTCGGGAACACAGGTGAAGTTGGCTCGGGAACACGGGTGAAGTTGCCTCGGGCTTGTACCCGAGGTGAAACCGGCTCGGGTGTAATGATAGTATAACTTGTACCCGAGGTGGCCAAGCTGCATCTCGTGGTGATGAACGTGTCCCCGAGGCAAGACTAAGAGTGCTCTGGGCCGGTGTGAATATCTCCTGAGGCGATTAGGAAGTCTCCGAAGCAACGGAGTAGAGAGAACATATGCCGAGTTGTTTCTCCTATCGATGTTTGGCTCGGTCTCAAGATATGGGTGAAATCCGACCCCAACAGTTAGCCCCCCAGCTCGTTGACTTGGGGAGCAAGTGTGACGAGCTTCATGAATGAGTCGACCGAGCCGTTTACCATTCTTGGTGCTTCATCCCTGACGGTTCGCATCTCTTTGGGAGACTGAGGTGGCTTGTGCGAAGAAGGCCGCGAAGAGGGAGGTCGCCGCCGAATTTACCCAGGAAGTCAAGGTGGCCGAGGTGAAAGTCGCTCTATTTGACCAAGTGTGAGACCGATACATGCACTTTATGCAGGAGAAAGCGTATGATGAGTTGATCGCCGAGCTGGAGAGCGGCAAGAAGATTGAGGATGAGAAGGAAGAAGTGCTGAAGTGGAAAAGCGGAGTACGCCGATGCTGAGGCTGAATACATCAGACTTGGTTCTTGAGCTACAGGAGGATCTGAAGGTTTTCCCAGGGTCTCCGGACTCTGTCCACGAAAACCTCGGAAATAGATCGATTAAAGGCAACGCAGTTGAAGTAGGTGTCACCGACTTAGGGATCAAGTGTAACGAGCTTCATGAACGAGCAGACCGAGCTGTTAACTTCTGCTTCGAGTCGCCAGTGAACCTGAGGCGGCACTCTTAGAACCGTCCTTTTTCTTCTTTTTTGGTTGTAGTGTAAGATTGTGCATGGATGACTTTGTCGTTGTATTTTTGCAAAGTAAAAACAAACGCTATTTTCAAAGATCCTTGTCTTCGAAGAGAATACAATGATTTTGAATAGTTTCCGTATCGAAACATCTTTTTGTCCTAAGTAAAAAAGAATTATGTAGCCGGAGCGAAAGATAGATACCAGTGTTAAGATAAACTGGATTTTAGTAGCCGGAGCGAAAGATAGGTACCAGTGTTAAGATAAACTGGGTTTTAGCAGAAAGATTTGAACGTTCACGGTCGCGACCCGATTCGATTCAATCGATAACCAGTGCTTAGAAGCGAACTGGGGCACCAGTGTTAAGATTTTACTGGGGTTTCTGAAGACAATTTCATCTTTGGTCGGATATCTTCGACCAGATTGTCTCGAATGCTTATATAGCGCGCTGTAACCGTGGAGGTGTAGATGAATTTAGTTCGCGGGCGTGGCCATCGCCCAAACAAACCGAACGGAGTTTAGACCGTGTTGATTTCCCGAGGCGAAGTTCAGACCGAGGTGGATTGATCGGATATTTTGATCGGGATAAAACCCGAAGCTGTAATTTAGAGGCACACTTGGTTAACACTTTGAGTTGGAGTATGTGTATACGGAACCCACTCCCCCCTTTTTTTAATTACGGGTGGTTGATCGGATAAAACACGAAGTGTAAATTTAGAGGCAAAATTTGTTAAAAATTTGAGTTGGAGTATGTGTATACGGACCCCACTCCCCCCTTTTTTAATTAGGGGGGTAGCTGAACTCGTCCGAGGACGAGCTGCCTACGTACCCTTATTAGGGATCAAGTCACCTCGTAGTTCAAGTTTATGCGTACCTTAAGTTTTTAGCGGTAGTATTTCCTGAGGTGTTTCCACAACTGAGATAGTCTCGGCCTCCTCGGGACCGGTTGTGACGGCAATGGGGCTAGGATTCGTCATCTCCACCTCAGGCTCATCAGTCGCTTTGGGAGGAGCAAGAGTTCCGAGAACGGCCTCCAAAGCTTTCTTCTCTACGGCCGCCTTCTATTCCGCGAGGTACTTATCCTTGCTTCGGCCAATCTTCGCCTTTTTATGATTGACCTCGACTTTAGATTCGGCGAAGAGGTTTCGAAGTTTATGTGCTGCCATGAAGCACATCCTGGAATTCTTTTGGCTTCCCCATATCGTTTTCACACCGTTAGGCGTCGGGAATTTCAAGCAGAGATGGTATGTCGAGGAGACAGCTCGCATTAGGTTTAACCATGGGGTGCCCATAATGGCGTTGTAGATGGTCGGCTGATCTGTGACAGAGAAATCAACTATCTTCGTTATTCCACTGGCCTGGACTGGCATCTGAATAGTTCCGAGTGTCATTAGGGTTTCTCCAGAGAATCCAAGTACTGGCCTCGGAGTCTGGTTTACTTGCGACATGCTGATGTTCATTTGCCGAAGCGTCTCGTGGAAAATTACGTTAATAGTGCTGCCGGTGTCGATCAACACCCTTGATACGTCGTGATCTCCGATGGCAAGCGTGATGACCAGAGGGTCGTTATGAGGCCTGTCGAGCCCATTTGTCTCACTTTCTTCGAACATGATTACATCGTTAGGTTGGTCGAATGGCCTTAACCAGTTGCTGGGTGCTTCGGCTCGTCTCTGATAGGCTTTGATCGCGGCTACGGTGTCGGGACAAAACGCTGATCCTCCCATTATCGTGTGGATTCTTTGTCGTGTTCCGTCATGCTCCCCGTCGGGTGTTCCCCGGATTCTCTTCGGAGCCTCTGGCTCCCTTGGCTCGGGACCCCTTGCTGTGTCCACCTGTTCGGGCTGAACTTGTTCTGGCTGTAGGTCTTTGAGGGTTATGTTCGTCCCAAACTCTCCGGCTAGAAATTTGGCCGCTAATATTGCTTCGAGGTTCCTGCATCTGGAAGTGTGATGCCCGAAGGTATTGTGATGCTCGCAGTATTCTTTTTCGTCACCTGGGGGTTGACTTCTTGTCTAAGTGAATGAATCTCTTCCTCGCCCACGGCCTTGGCCTCGGCCTACGTCGACTTGATAGTTGTGGGCTCCTGAGAAAATGTGCCCCTCGTGGTGCGTGTACGTTTCATTCTGATTTGACTTCTTCTGGCTCAGCGGTCCTGTTTGGGCTTTCTCGGTTCGAGATGCTTGCTTTATCGGCTCGTGTCTCTTCGCTAGTAGCTCCATTTGTTCTTCGTGGGCGACGAAATCCGAGGCTCGGTGCAGCGCGTCGCGAATTGTTGTTGGTTTAGACAGGTTCAACTCTTTCCTGAATTCTGACTTGTACCAGAGAGCTTTCTTCAAAGCCGAAAGGGCGGCTACATCTGTGATTTCTTCGACCTTGGCTAGCGTCGATTTGAAAGTTGTGAGGAAATCTCTTAACGGCTCGGTGGGTTATTGAGACAGAGACCACAGATCTGCGTCGGAGGTTCCGGGGTCGATGAGCACGGAGTATTGCTTGAGGAAAAGTGTCGACAGCTCGTTGAAACTGTCAATCGAGTTTCGTTCCAATCTTGAAAACCACTCTAATGCGGGTCCCTTGAGGTGTTCCACGAATAGTAAGCATAGACCAGCATCCTTCTCCCCGGGCTTAAACCTGGCTCGGGCCACGGATATCACGAATGATTTAATGTGACCCTTCGGGTCGGTTGATCCGTTGTAAGAGTCGATTTTGAACTTCCCCAGATTGGACATCGTTGTTTCGGAAGTTCTTTTGGTAAAAGGCGTATTCCGAGATTCTTCCAAAATTCGGTCGATGTTAGGTGCAGAGGATGAAACGCTATGTATCTGGGTTTTGACGAGCTTCATATCAGCTTCCGCCTTGGCTAGGGAGGCTCGGATCTTGCTGAGCTCGTCCTCTCTTTCGGATTCTTCGGCCCATTTTATGTTTTCCTCAGTTTCTTCGTCATCAGTGAGATTAGTTCGCTCGGCGGAGTTACCTCCAGCTCGGGTGCGCTCGTCTTGCAAATCATCCGGCTCGTTCGTCAAGTCCACTGCGTCTGGCTCGGTGGGATCATCCTGAGGAGCAAGTGATGAGCTTCACGATTGTTAGTCCGAGCAGTTTGAACATCGTTCCGAGCCAATCCCTGTATGCCGAAACTGTCCATGCTC